CTGGGTTCAAGCGAGTCTCCTGCCTCAGCCTCCCAAGTAGCTGGGACTACAGGCACCCGCCACAATGCCTGGCCATTTTTTGGTTGCATCCATCATTGTTGTTTGGCAGGCCCGGGCTGGGAATTCGAACCCGCCACCTTAGGTGTATGTGGCTGGTGCCTTAGCTGCTTGAGCCACAGGCGCCGAGCCAGTATATGTAATTTTTATTTTATATTTATTTTTAGAGACAGAGTTTCACTGTGTTGCCTTCACTGTGTTGCCTTCACTGTGTTGGCGTCACAGTTCACAGCACCTGGGCTTAGGCGATTCTCTTGCCTTAGCCTCCCGAGTAGCTGGGACTATAGGTGCCTGCCACAAGCCCTGGCTATTTTTTTGTTGCAGTTTGGCGGGGGTGGAGTTTGAACCTGCCACCCTTGGTATATGGGGTCAGCACCCTACCCGCTGAGCCACAGGCACAGCCATCACATGTATTTTCTTTCAGTCAGTGGCACTGATGTATCTCTCTTCCTGCCAGCGTTACACGCAGAGCAATGGGCGCAGGCCGTTTGGCATCTCAGCCCTCATTGTGGGTTTCGACTTTGATGGCACCCCCAGACTCTATCAGACTGATCCATCGGGCACATACCATGCCTGGAAGGTGAGTCTTGACAAAACAGGGGCTTTGGGCAGTCTTGCCAGGAAAGGAGCCTTTGGAGGCAGTTGGGGGAGGTACCGGGCCCCTTGTTGTAGTCGGGGTCAGTAACCAAGTGACAGACCAGGTTAATTAACATGGTCCCACTTGTACAGCCTAGACATGTATCATAATTAGGTTAAAAAAACCACAAAACATTGCTGTTTGAGAGAAAAATTGAAAGGCAGTAAAATGTAAAGATACAAACCAAAATCTCACATGGATCTTGATAGTGAAATGGAAAGTACAGTTGTTTTTTGTTTTGAGACAGAGTCTCACTATGTTGCCCTCAGTAGAGTGCTGTGGCATAACAGCTCACAGCAACCTCAAACTCTTGAGCTTAAGCAATTCTCTTGCCTCAGCCTCCCAAGTAGCTGGGACTATTTTTTGTTGCAGTTGTCGTCGTTTAGCTGGCCTGGGCCTAGGTTCAAACCTGCCACCCTTGGTGCATGTGGCTGGTGCCATAACCACTGTGCTATGGGCGCCAAGCCAGAAAGTAGTTTTGTTCTAGTAAGAATCAGCACCATCTCCAGATACCTCTTTGCAAAGGAAGTTGTGAAGGGCAGGGCTGGGCTATCAACTAGCACGTCTGGCCACAGCCTACTGGAGAACAGGGAGGTAAAGCAGACGCTGGCTCTGGGTTGGGCTCCAGCCACATGAGCACATGCCTGTCTGTTCAGGCCAATGCCATCGGCCGGGGTGCCAAGTCTGTGCGTGAGTTTCTAGAAAAGCACTACACCGATGACGCCATCGAAACAGACGACCTGACCATCAAGCTGGTGATCAAAGCCCTCCTGGAGGTAAGTCTGCATCTGAAGTCTGGGTGGAGGCAACGATACTGCACCATGCTGATGACTGTGGGTGGATGACAGGGAAGGTGGGCACACTGGTAATGCCTCACACTGGAGTTAGCGTGTGCCATGCCCCATCCAGTGGGTGGTGTGCTGTGATTTGTAGCTGACATATGAAGGTCCTTTGTAGAGCGTGGCCGGTTGAAGCTTGCCTGAGGACACATAGGGCTTGAAAACCAGAGGCAGCAGGCTGTGAACTCTGCCCTGCGGCCATGGAATCTCTTCCACTCACAGCCATTACTCAGCCTTCCAGAGGCTTGAGCCAGGAAATGGGAGAAAAAAATCTGAGGATAATGGTTTGGGTTGTGAGGTCTCAGGCCTTCTAAGCTGGCCAGTGAAGCCAAAGAGGCAGAGTGGGGACAGGCAAGTCAGCAGGAATGCAAGCATCAGGTCCTGGTAGTGGGGGGGAAGAGTTAGGAGCACAGCTGCCAAGCAGGAGTCTGAGAGGTCAGATGAGTGGGACTGCATTTAGGACAAAGGCTCTGCATGCTGACCCCACCCCACCCCCGCAATGCCAGGTTTGGGTACGCACCTAAAATGAGGTGCTTAAGTGGATGGAGGTGTCTAATGCTTCTCATCTTTTCCATCAAGGTGGTTCAGTCAGGTGGCAAAAACATAGAACTTGCTGTCATGAGGAGAGATCAGCCTCTCAAGGTACTTGCCCAGTTTGTCTGCTGTCTTTACCCATGGAAGTCTCTCCATGTTTAGGGCCAGTTCAGAAGGAAATGTCAGAGAGCCATTCTGTGTTTTTAACATTAGGAAGTAGTCTTTCCAAGGCTGCCCATAGATGTCTAAAAGGAGTCATTCCTGTTTTCCTTTCTGGCTAGAGATGCCACTCACTTGTCTTGGACAGGAAAAGGTGCCAGCACCTGGAGCTTGGCTGAGCTCTTAACTCTGTAGCCTGGTTGAGCAGACACTGCTGGGCTCCCCCGCAGGCTGCACCATAAACTCCACCTGCCCTCACTCACTCAGGGAAGGTGTTAGTGCCCTGGCACTGTGTGTGGCTTGTGATTAACTGTAAACATTTTGTTTATTGTTTGGCAGATTTTAAATCCTGAAGAAATTGAGAAATACGTTGCTGAAATTGAAAAAGAGAAAGAAGAAAACGAAAAGAAGAAACAAAAGAAAGCATCATGATGATGAATCATTTTCCTTGCCTGTAATAATTTTTAAATTCAAATCATGGTTGAGTCTCAATTGTGTAGGCATTTCCATTCCATTCATCATTTATTCATGTCTGAGTGTCCTACAATAAACTTGCATATTTTTTAACCTTTTTAAGAGGATGTATATCTTTAGGTTTAATCACTATAGTTCTTTAGAAAGTGGGATCTTTCCTGCTTATTTTCTCTTTTCTAAGCTTTCTGTGGCATGAGCTTTTCCCACTGTTTCTTGTGGCCAGGCTTTAGTCTAAGACAGCATGACTTAGTTGAGTTGGGCATTCCCTCTCCAGTGGTCAGAACTGCTTTTGTTGCTACAGAGGAATCCTGCCTTCAGGAGACTCCAGTTTCAGTGTGGCATTACAGACAGAATGTCCATTTTCTTAAGACTGTCAAGTCCCACAATTAAGGTATGATGTGAAGGACATAAGTGTAAGTAGCAGTACCCTGGCTCATGCTTGTGACTCCAGCACTCTGGGAGGCCAGTGTAAGGAGGATCCCTTGAGCTTAGGAGTTCAAAACCAACCTGAGCAAGAACAAGACCCCATCTCTATTAAAAAGAGAAAACCTAGCCAGGTGTGTTAGCTGGCACCTGTTATTCCAGCTACCTTAGGAGGGCTGAGGCAGGAGGATCTTTTGAGCCCAGGAGTTTAAGGTTGATTATAAGGTAGGATGACTGACACCATGTACTCTAGCCTGAGTGACAGTAAGACTGTCTCAAAAAAAAAAGGGGGGGCAACTAAAAATTCTGCAGAGCAGCAGCTATGTTCAACAGTAGTTTTTGTTTCTGGTTTTAATAGATTTTGTTTTCATTTTGGTTCTGGCTCTTTTCACCCCACCCCCACCCTTCCTTGGGCTACCAGTGCAGCAGTGGTTTAAGTGAGGGTCTTTCACACGCTTTGACTTAAGAATGCACAGAGGACCTTTTGGTTCCTTGGGTCACCCATCCCCACCGCACTGCCATGCTGTCTGCCTCACTCAGCAGCTCCTTGTGCGTTTTTGGCCATATAGTATCTTCTAAAAAGAAGTAAGGGGGCTCAGATACATTGTAAGCACAGCATAAAATATGTAATTGTCAGAGCCACTGTTGGTTTAAAATTACCATGTCCAGGCATAGTGGCTCAAGCCTGTAATTTAGCATTTTGGGACACCGAGGTGGGAGGATTACTTGAGGCCATGAGTTGGAGACCAGACCAGCCTGAGTAAGAGCAAGATTCCTCCTGTCTCTACAAAAAATAGGAAACTTAGCCAGGCACAGTGGTGCACATCTGTAGTCCCAGCTACTCAGAGCCAGAACCAGAGCCCAGGAGGCTGCAGTGAGCTATGATCATGGCACTGCATTCCAGCCTGGGCAACAGTAAGACCATGTCTCAAAACATTTTAATAGCAGTGACAGGTTAACAGGTGGTAAACTATGACCTGACAACAATTAGACTCTCTAGCAGGCAATTCCTGATTAGTTAACTGCTGAGTCACTTAACTAGTTAGTTAGGGTTACAGCTATGGCTACTTGTACCTAGGATGAATATCCCAGAAGACTTTTTTATTGGTCATGAATATCAGTTGCCCACCCCCTCCCAAGAAAGGGCCGCCTGTTGGCAGGCCCTGCTCCAGAGCCTGCCAAGACCACAGGTCCTGAAGGGAGAACCTGGACAGGTGACTAGATGTGCCTTCCAGACCTCTGAAGACTGCTTAGAGAAAGAAAGTCACCTTGAAACCCCCTGCAGTGTAAGGGATGCTTTCAGCCTAAAACCAGCCAGGCTCTGCGGTTCTGTGGCCCTGGGAGGCAGTCCAACAGTGGTTCTCAGGTGTCTGAGAACATGAATGTTCCCAGGGAGACTGGAAGCTGCACGAGGGTGGCGAAGAGGCCCCTAAGAACAAGCTTGACTGAATGTTTTTATAAGCACAAGGGTAGCAGACAGCAAGAACCCAGGCCTGTCCCTGCACTTCAAGCACCAGATGGGACTTGAGCTCCCAAATCCTTCTGGCCCAAGTGTATTCCAAACTCTGGATGTGGTACATGGGGAATTCAGGAAGCAGAGTCAACAGACTCCTAGAGCATCAGAGAAGAAGGTTTGAAAGGTTTGCATGTTTATTTATAGTTTACAATTTACTCCAACAGCAGCCCCATTGCTATGTTCTAATTCTTAGCCATTAGGTTCTACAAAAATAAACCCAAGCTTTTACAGTAACTTAATCAATACAGAACTAAAGCCTTTGCAGCTATTAAAGGGGTTTTAGTTACCAAGGTGCTTATTTTCAACAAAATTTCCCGTCAGGATACATGCTTACACTAAAAGTCCTGACCCACTGGTTCATGCAACAAATTTATATATCCCACCCTCCCACCACCTACCTTTAAAACAAAAACACACAACTATTTACAATGGAGGATAAATATGCTCTTGGTCAACTGACCTTGCAAAAAAGACTGGCTCATTTCCAAGTGGATGAGAAGACCGAAGTGCTCGGCCAAAGTCCAACACTGACCAGCTGACCTGAGTCAGAAGGGCCAAGGGATGCCACAGGGGCTTGTCCCCCACCTCAATGGCTGCAGAGGCCAGGTTCCATTTGACAGCTCTGCACCAGACTCATGGGCCCGTGACCACTGCAAGTCCTTCAGCCCACCCACCCTTCAGCCCCCACCCTGGACAGCAACAATCTGAACATGTCAGGGTCGGCCGGTTTGCTTATACAACATGATCCATGAGACACCCCTTCCCTGCCCTTGGCCTGCCCACCCACCCCCTCACCACCCTGCCTGGCTCCTGAGACTGGACCCCAGGGGCCACACCAGCTACACAGGGCCAGCTGGGTTACAGAGCTGCACTTGGCTGCTACATTTGCCAAATGAGATTTGGTTCCACTTTAAAAGTCAAAGTTGTAACAAAAAAAATAATACAGTGAGGATCAAAGCTTTCACCATAGAAACCTTTTTGCAAAATACCAGAACCTTAGACTTAGGCTATGCGCAACTAAACAGGAAACATAGGTCCAGATACCTCCAAGAGGTCACCCATGAATACTTCTCCAAAACAAGTGGCTCTAACTCAGACCGTGTCCAACTTCAGTTAAGTCCAAAACGTAAGTAGCAGGCTGGGAATTCTCCAAACTCCATAAACAAAGTGACCCACTTCTCCCCGTAAGCGCTGAGTTTTCCTTGTGTCCTGATATACACAGCTGTACTTCTGTGCCACTGAGCAGGAGCCTGCGGGAAAAGATGGCGGGCAGTGAATGCATTCTGCAGGCCCTGCAGAGCTTCAGCCCAGGGCAAGCCAGGCACTGCTGCCTGGCGGAGAACAGGAGCCACTCACCCCTGCTCCTACCCTTCCAGAGCCAGGTCAAGCTTCCCAAGTTATGTAACACTGGGGACCGGGAAGCAGCTGGTGGTGGCAAGAGGCCCTGACCACTGCAGATCCTACCTGGCTTTGGTGAGTCTGCACCAGGCACCCAGGACCTTGTTAAAAGCTGGGACTGCGATTCAGGGTAGGGCTGGGACCAAGACACTGGCTTGGAGCAGGCTCTCAGGCTGCTGACCATATGCAAGTAGCCCATACTAACCCCCCCCCCCACCCAGCCTCACCCTCCCACATCTACAGCCTCACTCACAGAACAGTGGGATCCAAGTCCAACCCCTTAAGATTAATTTAGTTGACTGGGTTGGGGGCTATCAGGCAATTCAGAGAACCAAGGCCCTCAGTGTAGCCTTGACACCTCTGGCCCCTCATCACTGGGATGTAGAGAAAGCCCAATCCCTGCTCCACACTCAGCCTACATACTCCTATTCAAACGCCAAAGCACCCAGAAGCTTCCCCTGCTCACCTTGGGCTGTGTCCTCAGACCCTGCCAGTCCCAGCTCTGTGGGACGTTGGGTTGCGACGGGTTGCACCATTGCCCCTGCCTCCTCGGAATCCACCTCGGGAGCTGCGACCACGCAGAAACCTCCCTGACACCCCAAAGGTCTCCGTGTTGAGCTTTCTTTCCTCAGCCCATGTTGTCCGTCTAGAACTAAACCACAGGTAAAATGCTGATTGCAGCAGGTACCTCCTCACAGGATCCTGAGCCAGGCTTTATCTTCAGAATTGCCCAGGGAAGAAAGTATAGGCGGCACTAGAGCCCTTATGGGGAAAAAGGGGACCAGTCAGCACTGGAGCCTGAGGCCCTGGTAGCACAGGTGCTCCCAGTCAAGCCTTAGACCAGGCTGTCTCTTACTGCAGACTAGAATGCTCAGATGGACACACTCATGTTTTTGTCACCAACAGTAAGCAGGTAGTATTATTTATTAAAGTAGCCCCCACTGCTGCTGGGTACAGGAATGGGCCCTCCTAGATGGGGAGTGAGCTGAACACAGTGAAATCCCCTAGAATACCACACATCTCTGGCGAGGGGCACAAGCCACAGAACCTACACTGCTACCGACATGCCTGCTGCTGTTGCGATGACCTTCAGTGTTTCCCATACTGAACTGCACAACTGTCACAGCCACCCCCAGACTATAGCTCCAAGGTGGCACACCCCTCTACTAGGTTCTGCTCTTCAACTGGAAACCCACTGTTCTTGCAGGCTCCATGTGTAAAGAAACAACTACTTCATCCTTCAGGTGCCCAGGCCAAAAATCCTGGGAGACATTCTGAACTCTGCTCACACACTGTCAGCTGATACTGCCAGCACCACCCTTCAAACATATTCATGCTCCACCCCTTCCCTCTGCCCTCACTATCACTCACTCCACTCAGAACACCTGCACGGCTACACTAGTCTCTTCACAGGTCATCAGGCCTCCGGGCTGGCCCACCTCCAGCCCACCACCCCCACAGATGCTATCACATGTCAGGCTGCACCACACCTTGGCTCAGAACCCTCTGATGGATTCCATAGTGCTAAGAACAAAAGCCAAAATCATTATCATGACCTACAAAACCCAACAGGACACCATCATGTCTGTCAGACTTGGCTCCAGCCACTTGGCCCCACCTGCAGAAACTGCCTCACTCTTCACACACCTGCTGCGCCCATGAGACCTGACCATGAACTGTTGTGCCCATACCTCACCCGCTCCGTCACTGCTGCCTTCCCCAACACAGTTAGCCTGTATTCAGTTTATTTCCCTGGCAGA